CCAGGCACGGCCCCCCCCCCCCGCCGGGACCGCCAGGCCTTCTCCATGTACGAGCCAGGCTCAGCGCTGAAACCCTTCGGGCAGCCGGTGGAGGAGCTGGTGACACGGCTGCAGCCCTTTGGCGCTGGCGTGAGTGTGCTGGTGCGGGCGGGCGGTTTTTGGGGTGCAGCGGTCCCCCCAGCCTCCCCAGGGTGCTGGGTCCTGTCCCTGCGGGGCCGTAACCTTTCATGTGTCGCCAGGAGGTGGAGGACGAGGCTCTGTACTCCATGCACATCCCGGCCAGCGTGTACCGGGTAAGGGGGCCGCAGCGGGGGCGGCTCCTGCATGGGACGTGGTGGCCGTCACCCTCCTGGGACGTGGCCTCCGTGCCGTCCTGGGACGTCCCGTCCCCCCGCCGTCCTGCACCCCCCGGGTCAGGCCGGGGACCTCCCCGGGGGATGGTGGCCGTGGGACGTTCCTGCATGCAGGGCGGCGGTGTCCCCTGTGCTCGTCCTCCCCTGCACGTCACCGGGATCAGCTCCAGACCCTTCTGCGCCCCGTTCAGCGCTGGCTTCCCCTCTCTTCCCCCTCCAGATCCGGAAAGGTCCGTCTGCCTCCTCGGTGCCCTTTCCCCCATCCTCCCCGCTGCTCTCCTGCCCGCCCGACGGTGCCCGGCACATGGTGACGTACCGGGGAGGGGGGGGCGCAGCTCCTGGGGTGGGGGGACCCCGGCTCTGCACAGGGACGGGGCTGGGCAGGGCCTGACGCTGCTCCTCTCCCCTCTAGAGCAAGCTGGACCGGCACGGCAGCGGCACCGACAGCGACTACGACAACACACAGGCGGGTGAGGTCCTGATCAGGTGAGTGCCGGGGCTGGGGACTGCGCCGGGGACACGGGGCTGGCACTGACCTCAGGGGGTCGGTCGGTCCCTGCAGCATGGAGGGGAAGCGGCTCGTGGAGCTGAGCAAGGACGAGGACTTCCCCCACGAGCTGGACCCGCTGGACGGGGAGCTGGACCCTGGGCTGCCCAGCACGGAGGACGTCATCCTCAAAACCGAGCAGGTCACCAAGAATATCCAGGAGCTACTGCGGGCGGCGCAGGAGTCCAAGCACGACAGGTAGGCCTGGGGCTCGGCACCGG